TTATAGGAGGGATTTTATGTTATAGAAATATATAGAGGAATTAATATAATATATTGGGAATCAGATTAGTAACAGACTTGACAAATAAAGATACACAGACGTCTAAATAAGACCAGTTTGTAGAGGCATGTTTCAGGAAGAAATATTCAATGCCATACCGAGTGGACTATTAAAGACAGTCTAGAAGGCTGCTAAGGTAGTCTGTGGAGACTAGTTTTATAAAATCCCCATAATCTCCACCAGATCCCCTAAATACAACCAAAATAAACATTTAACTTAAGTAAATCTGTTCTGCAAATGAAATTTCAAGGTGATTTCCTTTGAGTCTTAGAAATCCAGAACAGCAATAGAAAAAATCAAAACTAAGCACTGTTTTTTGAAGATAAACAAAAATCAACAAACCTTTAGCCATATGAAAAGACAAAGACTCAAATAAATATGAGAAATGAAAGAACATATTACTACTTATAACACAGAAATACACAGAATCATAAAAGACTTACTATGAATAATTATATACCAATGATTATTATTCTAGGGGAAAATGGATAAATTCCAAGAAATATGCAACCTCCCAAGATTGAATCACAAAGAAATAGGAAATCTGAATAACTAATATAAGAAGAATAAATGCGTAATAAAAAAAACTTCCCAAACAAAAAAGGCCAGAACCAGATTGTTTAATTGGTGAGTTCTACCATACATGAATAAAAGACTTAACACAGATCCTTCTCAAAATCTTCCCAAAAAAATGAAGAGAATGAAACACCCCCAGACTCATAATACAAAAATCAAAATAGGGCACTACAAGAAAATATGTACCACTAGCTCTGATGAATATAAATTCAAAAATCTCAATTAAGTATTAGCAAATTGAATTCAATGAATTAAAAGGATCTTACACCATGATCAAGTGGGATTTACCCTTGGAATATAAGGTGGTTTAACATAAGCAAGTTAGTACGTGTGATATTACAGTAATAAAATGAAAGATAAAAGTCAAAAAAGAAGAAATTCTTACCATTTGCAACAGCATGGATGGAACTGGAGAGCATTATGCTAAGTGAAATAAGCCAGTCAGAGAAAGATAAATATCACATGATCTCATTCATTTGTGGAATATAATGAACAACATAAACTGATGAACAACAAATAGATCCAAAGAAAGAGAAGCAGCGATCAAACTGTCAAACCTCAGAGGGAAGGTAGGTGAGGATGGGGGTAAGGCGGGGAGATCAACCAAAGGCCTTGTATGCACGCATATAGGCATAACCGATGGACACAGACAACAGGGGGGTGAGAACATGAGTGGGGCAGGAGGGAAATGGGGGAATAAGGACACATATGTAATAACTTAATAAAGAAATGTTTAAAAAATGTCAGCTCAGAATCTTTTTCAAATTGTTAAAAACAAATTTATTATTTTAATCAGAAGGAGGACTGTTTAGCATCTAAGATACAGTTTGAATTTCACTCACTCCTCAATGACTCCAATGTCTTCTTTGTCATATGGAAACCATAAGTTTTGAATACTGTAAGCAAAACTGTTTTTCTAATTTTCTTATCCTATGTTCAATTAAAACCAACTTGTGTTTTCACAATATACAAAAAAGAAAAAAGAAAAGAAAAAGTCATGTGATCATCTCAACAGATACAAGAAAAGGATTTGCAAACTTCAACATCTTTTCAGTATAAAACCCCCTCAACAAATTGGATATTTAAGAAACATACCTCAATATAACATAGGCCACAATTGGATGTGGAGATAAAGGTACTTTGTTGTACCGTTGAAAAGGTACACTTTGGAAAGCACTTGAAGGTCCCTCAAAAAATTATCTAGATATATTCCCAAAGAAAACGAAAACAGGATCTTTAAGAGATAGTAGCACTCTTAAGTTCATTGCAGGAGTATTCACAACATCCAAGATATGGAAATAATAGGAATGGAATATTATTCAGCCTTGAGTAAGGACATGTGCTCTTTAAAACAACATAAATGGCCCTTTGGACATTATGCTCAATGAAATCAGATAAAGAAAAATAATGTATGACACACTTATATGTGGAATGTAAAAACAAATCCAAACTTATAGAAACAGACAGGAGGTTGGTGGTTGCCAGGGGCAGAGGTGTGGAGAATCGGGGAGATGTGGTCAAAGTGCACAAACTTGCAGGAAAAGGAAAATAAAATTGGTAAAAATGGTAATCCAGTAAAGGGAGGGAGAATTTGCTATATTCTTCACTCCTTCTTTGGTAAGGCCTGAATTTTTCTATTATGTTGTAGGTATTATAATAAATATTTTAATGCAACACCAATAAAAATGTATAGTATGCAGAAATATTTAATGTACTTGTCCAATACTTGAGTAGCTTTTTGTTAGATTGTATTACTAATGGAAAGTCTTACAAGCCACAGCACTTAGAGAATGAATGGAGAAATCATCTCTAAGTATGATTTACCACCTGAGAGAATGCAGATGCCATTAGGAGATGAAAATGCTGCCGATGACAATCGCTGTCATCACACCTAAATCCTTACCGCTATTACGTCTATTGTTCTGAGTGCTCTATTTGCTACCTGCACTGCTAATCTCCGTGGAGATAAACAAAAATTACCCAAACAAGAACAAGCACTACTTATTGACGGCAGCAGTCATCCCAACAGCTCTGCTTGCTTCTGGCTGAGACTCCAATCAAAGGCAGATGGGGGAATGGGGAAGGTTATGGAGGTGAAAAGGAAAGGTCCGCCCTGATGGGAAGTTGCTGGCATGGGGAAGCTGGGAAGGAACTGACTAGAAGAGGGGATCTAGCAAAGATACCATAAATTAGTAGGAACAATAACAGATAATCCGCAAGTCAATAGGAACAACAGCGATAATGAAACACTAAAATGAATATCACCAAAAAAGATCATCAAAGCCTTAGTGTAACCCAAAAGCATTTAGCCTGCATTTCGTTCAGATATTATATAGCCTCAGCCAGTTTGGCTCAGTGGATAGAGCATTGGCCTGCTGACCAAAGGGTCCTAGGTTCCATTCTGGTCAAGGGCATGTACCTTGGTTGCAGGCTCTTCCCTGGCCCTGACCTTGGTCAGGGTCTCATCCTAGAGGCAAAAGTCAATGTGTTTCCTTCACATTAATGTTTCTCTCTGTCCTCCTCTCTCTCTTTTCCACTCTCTCTAAAAACCAATGGAAAAATATCCTCAAGTGAGGAGCAACAATAAACAGATATTATATACAATACTGAATTCCAATGCATACCATTTAGAAGGAAAGTGTTATTGATACTAGCTAAGTAAATGATTTATTATAGTATTTGAATTCATAATACTTCGTTGTTTTACAAACTATGGCTAAAATACATTTCAATGTAAATATGTTCATCTTTAAATGAATGCCTGATATTTTAGAACTCGAAGAAAATAACTATTTTATGAAGAAAATTCATTACCTCAGTTAGATATTTATGCAATTTTCTTAACAAGAAACTAAAACCCCTCACAGGGTTTTCTTTCTTCCTCATTTTTTATCTCTCTGCCCAGACATTTTTAATGCCAATTTTTCTGTAATCATTACACAAAAAAATTTAACTATTGGCCTGATTGCAAGGCAAAGGAACTCATTATAAGGAGATTCTTTTTAATATGGATGTGTTCTTTCTTTATTGATTTCAGAGAGAGGAAGGGAGAGACAGAAACATCAATGAGAGAGAATCATCGATTGGCTGTCTCCCTCATGCTCCCTACCTGGGACTGACCACCCAACCTAAGTATGTGCCCTGATCCTGAATCTCACTGTGACCTCCTGGTTAATAGATCGACACTTAACCACTGAGCTACACTGGCTAGACTATAGGAAGATTCTTAAATGAGATATAATTCTTTCCGTTCTACTTTTAAAGTAGACTAAGAAAATCTGAAGTCATACTAACCTATATAATAAAAGCCTAATATTCTAAGTGGTCATCTGGTCAACCATTCAACCAATCAAAGTGTAATATGCTGATGATATGCTAAGGCCACTTAACTGCTCGCTATGATGTGCACTGATCACCATGGGGCAGTCAACTGGTTAACCAGTTGTTATAATGTGAACTAACCACCAGCGGGCAGATGCTCTGACCAATAGGTGAGCTTGCTGCTGGGGTCCAGCTGATCTGAGCTGATCAAAACCAGCCAGACACACCCTGGAGCCCTCCCAAGACTCCTCCAAGGCTCGCCAACCTTCCACATCTCTCCTGCATCTCTCCCCAGCCCTGATCATGCACTGGTTGGGTCCTTTGGCCTGGCCTGTACCCTCTCACAATCTGGGACCACTTGGGGGATGTCAGAGAGCAAGTTTTGGTGTGACGGTGGAATGACCAGTAACTAGGATGCACACAGACCCACAGGGAACAGAAGCTCAATGCAGCAGCTGCCTCCTGGTGGTCAGTGCACTCCCACAGGAGCTCACAGCTGATGAGTGCAGCCATGGTGGCAGGAGCCTCCCCATCTTCACTGCAGCACTAAGAATGTCCAACCGTCAGCTTAGGTCACTCCCAATGGGGAGTGGGCCTAAGCCAGCAGTCGGACATCCCTCAAGGGCTCCTGGACTACAAGAGGGTGCAGGCTGGGCTGAGGGACCACCCTTAAGTGACACATTTCATGCACTGAGCCTCTAGTGAAAAAATAAATAAGGAATGACCCAGGATTTATTTTGTTTAGAGAGAGGTGATTTTAAGCAGAAAAGAATGAGCAGATGAGCAGACACGGTCATGCTTAAGTTGGAATACATGGCAGAGTGGTTCACTGAGCCATCCTTGCCACTAAACAATGAGTGTCCCCCAATTAACTAGTTACATAATGTCAGAGGACATCCATTTTCTATCCCTACATCAAGGGGCTCAAAGAATATAAGCTCTAAACTCCTTTTCCAGCAAAATAATGATAACCCTATGAGTTGGTGGACCTGAAGATCTGAGGGTCAAGTATAAATGAGTGGAAACAAAAATAAACACCATACCTTTCTGCGCTCTTTCATCTTGAGTTTACTTTTGTATTGTTCCCTAGCTTCACGAAGTGCTCTCTGAGTAGGACCTTCTGATGCAAATTCCTTTTTATAGCTAGGAATACCTACGAGATAGCACATTTGTCATTAATACGCATGCTGCTTTTCTGTAAGAAATATAACAAAAATATGAAAGTCAAAGTCATGACACATTTTTTAAACTAATAATACTGATGCCATACTAAAATGTCATCAGTGAAGTCTCAAATTTGTTTACCAAAAATGCATGTTGGTATTCCTGTAAGGCTAATAAAATAGCATGGCAAGCCAGCGAGACAGCATTATATCCAAATTCCTGTTATCATTATATCCAAATTCCTGTTATCATGAGGTTCCATGTGCTTATAGACAAAGTCGAAGAGGGTCAAAGGAGAGAATGGTGAACAACAACAAAATTTCACAAATGGGACTACATAATAATAAGGCATTTAAAAAAGAATGTATTAATAAAATATTATTCTCTATGCTTCTAGATGTTGAAGAAAACCGAAAGAAAAACACAGGATAATATTCCAATATAATCATAAAATTGGTCTCCAAACTCTTGGACATAAAGAACATTGCTAATGAAATCATCTGAGGTAAAAAACAAAAGTGATAGTAAAAACCTTTCCTTTTCACATAGTTTCCCCCTGTATTTCCAAACAACAAGCTGATTTTAAATAAATAATAAATTTAGCAACCTACTTTGATTAGTCCAATATCAGGGCCTGTTTAAAATTATTTGATAATTTCACTCCAAATGAGTTCAATATTTGTCTTATTGTCTAAATTTGAATTAAATAAAAATTAATTTGTCTTTTTCCCAAAGTTCAGCATAACAGCAATTAATTGTTCCTTAACTACAGAATAAATCCAATTTTAATCTGAAGAACTTCTATTGCCCAAAGCAAATGGATAGATAGATAACAGAAAGAAAACAAATTGATAAAATATTTTAAAAATTAAACTAAGCCCCAGATGGGGTGGCACTGAAACGTCTCAGGTTGCTCTGCCCATCAGGATCAGAGCACACAGAGCACATACCCAGACTGCAGGTCGGTTGGTCTCTCTCTCTCTCTCTCTCTCTCTCTCTCTCTCTCTCTCTCTCTCTCTCTCTCTGTGTGTGTGTGTGTGTGTGTGTGTGTGTGTGTGTGTGTGTGTATGTCCTTTCCTCTCTGTCTAAAATCAATAAAAACATTTCCTGTAATTAGGATTTAAAAATAAAGGAAACTGAGTGAAAGGAGAGGGAGGGTGTTAAATTTGTGAAAATTATTGCGAAGGCCAGCAGGCTTTACATGAGGAACAACCACTTTACCAATAAACCCAACATCTTTTCCAGTTATAATCCCTGGATAAACAAGGTTCCAAGTGGATCAGGCAAAGAGAGTGATGACAGATACTGACATAGTCAAATGCTGACACCAGAAGCTGAGGAAAAGCTATTGCAAAGGTATTGCAAGTCTCTTGTCTAAAATCAGAGTGCATGTTTGTGAGCACCAAAAAAATTATTCAGTACAGGATTTAAGAAGGTAATTTTATTCATAATTAGAATCATTCAACTAAAAGAACCTATTTCTTCACATTGGGTAGGAACTTATTCCCTTTGATCAAAAGCCACTTCAAAAATATCACAGATCAAAATATAATTACAAACTTGATCTTCCAAATAATTTATAAATGTCAGCTTAGTAAAACATGAAATGTGTTCCATTTTTAATTAAATTAAATATCAGGAGATAATTTTATAAAGGAGTTATCTGCAAACCATTAGTTTTTTTAATAGAGATATCAAGAATAAACATGTAAAATCATAAACTATTAGAGTAGAATATAGCCTTAGAGATTAGCACCAATCAAGTGTACAAAGTTCCTCAACCTTTAAGCCATTTTTATATCCTTTTTCAGAATTTTTGTGAGTTAAAGCTCCTAGATTACAATAGTTTTATATTAATCTTTCAGATTTACCTCTAATTATATACTTAAAAGTGATCTACATGTAAAACGAATAATTGTTTGATTTAAATAGGCATAATATTCAAATAGAGTAAGCACATAAAGAAAATTATGTCAACATTTTTGTGTATCATCCAATCATTTTTCTATACATATATTTAAGACATGCCCTCCTACTATATCAATGTTCCTTATTTCTTAACATTCTATTAACATAATAAATGAGCATTTTCTTATGCATGATTTTTAAGACTTTCTAGTATTGTATGACCAGCTATGTTTAGGCATTCACTTGTGTTTGAAGGGTAAGATTGCTTGTATTGTTTTGTTACTGTAGAAATGACTATAATAAACATCCTTGTGTAGAGTAGTCTCTTTAGGCATCACTGAACATAGCTGATATTGCTGTAACATAAAATCTTAGGAAAGGAACTACTGAACCAAGGCTAAGAAAAACATTTAAATATAATAATGCTACATATTTCTTTTAAGCATTAATTAATTAGAGAATATAATGAATACTCATGTGGAAATAACAGGATGTTATGTTTATTAAGAAAATTCACCATTTCAAAGTCTTTCTATTATTTAGAGTTTCCCATCATTCTTTTTTAAATCAACTTCTTTGAAGTATAGTTTATATATTAATAAAATGTATATTTTTAAAGTATAGAGTTGGAAAGTTTTATCAAAGATAAGTAGGCATATAACCACCATCCAACTCAAGATATAGAACATTTGTACCACCCCAAAATTATTTTATCTTACACAAGCCTAATAAATACTATCTAATTTTATGTCATTTTTTATGAAAATTAAGAAAAGAAAAATGTAATCTTTATACTAACCATAATTTAACATTTCTAAATCTCAATATTCAATTCTGTAGATCTCCATTTTCTTTTCTTTTTTTTCTTTCAGCCCAAAGAAAATCCTTTAGTATTTACTGTATTTCAAAATGGCTTGCAATAAAATCTCTTAGATTTCATTTATATTCAAATGTTTACTCTTCACCCTAATATTAGAAGGATATTTTTGTTGTATATAAAATTCTGAATTAAGTTTTTGTCACATTTTATTTTATTTATTTATTTTTAACCCTCCCCCAAGGTTATTTTCCCATTGATTTTGAGAAAGAGTGGAAGAGAAAGGGAAAGACAGAGAGGAGAAACACATCAACTGGTTGCCTCCTTCAAAGCTCCAGGAAGCCTGCAACCAGGGTATGTGCCTTGAATGGGACTGGGACTGGGACCCTTAGGTCTGCAGCCCAATGCTCCAGCCACTTAGCCAAACAGACTAGGATAAAAAATTGCCACATTTTAATGATGTCATTTCATTGTTCCTAGCTACCATGATTTCTCATGTGAAATCAGCCTTTATTTGTATTATTGTTTTCCTTTATGTAATACTAGAGAACTGGTGCATGAAATTCATGCAAGGGGCCTGGCCCTCTCAGCCCTGAGTTCATCTGGAAGGCAGACCAGTATATTGGCATAGTAAGCTTTTATTACTATAGTTGTATTTTCTCTCTTGTTAAAATTTTCTCTTTAAATATTCTTATACCCCATTCTCATTCTTTCATCCTTTGGGACTCTAATTATATAGATAGATAGATAGATAGATAGATAGATAGATAGATAGATAGATATAGATATAGATATAGATATAAAATATATGTTAAATAGATAAATTTTATTTCTTTTTTCTTCTATTTCTTCTTTAGAACAGATTATTTGATCTCTTAAAATTCACTGGCATTTCTGTAATCTGCAATCTGTTGATAAATATAAAATTTTCTTTGTAGTTAACTATCTTTCTCAGTACTAGAATTTCTATTTCCTTTTTTTTGTTGTTTCCATTTGTCTGCCAAGATTCCCTGTCTCTTCACTTATTGATATCATATTTTCCTGTAAGTCTTTGATCGTGTTCTAAATAGCCTCTTTAATATTTGTATTTGCTAGATTTAACACCTGAACTGTATCAGTGTAGGTTTCCATTTATCGCTCTTTTTCTTGATTGTTGCTCATATTTTCATGTTTCTACAACGTGACTAGTGCATTTTAATTAAATACTGAGAAATATATATGATGGGTCATAAAGAATCTGAACAACTTGTCTTCCTCTGAAGGGCACTGATTTTTTTTTTTTTTCTAGCACACAGTTTCACTTCTTGGTCCCCTTGTATTTCAAGGCTTGATTTTAGGCTGTGTGTAGTAGATCCATGGGAAGCACTAACTACTGTCCAAGGTTGTCTAACTTGGCAAGATTCAAACTCTAATCTCCATTTCTTCTCGGGACTTGATGTAAGCTTTGTTTTTTGTTTTGTTTTGTTTTGTTTATTTTAGAGGGTGGGTACAGGATGCTGAATGCTAATACCAGGGTACAGGGTGTTAAAGAAGCCTCTCCATCCAGGCGTGGCTAGAACTCCAAGTCTCCCGTGATTGCTTGACCTCTAGAATCTCTGGTCTCCTTTTACTCCTATGGGAGCTTCTCTCTTTGAAGAAGTCTCAGTAAGTCTTGCATGTGGAGTCCAGACATCAACTAAGGATTGTAGTAAACTCCTTCGCAAACGGGGTCCTGCTCACTGCAGCACCCTCTTATCTGATGCCCTTTCCCACGTGTTTTATTGCTATCACAACTTGCCTTTTCAGTTCCTGCAGACCTGCTGCGTAATTCTTGACCTCCATCTCCATGGAGTTTATTTGGAAAATTCCCCAGGCACAAAGGCATGTGGATGATGGAGCTCAACTTACACATCTGCCTTCTGTCACTTGCCTTCTGTGACTTGCGCTATTTTCCAATGGCTAAACATCATTGCCTCATATGTACAATGAGTGGCCAGATTATTATAATCTCTGAACGCATGATAATCTGGCCACTCAGTGTATATCTTATATAATAAAAGGCTAATATGCAAAGTGTCCCATCAACTAAGACTTCAACCAGCAGGCAGGCCGGCCAACCGCCAATGTCCCCACTCCCTGACCAGCTGGCTGATCCCCACCCATGCACAAATTAATGCACTCATATACTGAGTGGCCAGATTATTATGCATTAAAATCATAATAATCTGGCCGCTCAGTGGATCTATGTATAAGGGAAATCTTGCAAATCTTTATATGTCAAGGGACCAGGAGATAGTGGACCCCAGCCTCTGGCTAGTAAGCCCCCTGCTTCTTTCTAACTACCCACAATGCAGTTCTTATATATGGAAAGACCTTATTTTAAAATCCCAACTCTGTTGCTAGTCTACACTGAGTGGCCAGATTATGATGCATGCAGAGATCATAATAATCTGGCCACTCAGGGTATAGTCTAGTTTTAGAGCTTTGGGGGAGAAGACTAATGTGGTACTAGATACTCTCTCACACTCATAAATCCTCCCATTAGGATTACTCATATTTTTCTCTAAAATTAACCTATATAGATTCACACCAATACTTCCTCTTGGTCTTTTCATAAACATTTTCATTTATACAATGGTTACCACACCATTTATTCAATTTTAAATATCTAGGATTTTGAGCTATGGTAAAGTTGTGATATCACCGATCAATATTAAAATATAGTTTTATCACATTGTACTTTTACCTCTAACTTTAGTATCTTGGTAACCATTCCATGGGTCCATAGTCTTTGATGATGATTGATATGCAGAAATCTAAAAATAATAATAATAATAATAATAATCCCAAAATATGCAAAATAGTTTAAAAGTGCAATGTTTAAGTATTGATTATAAAATATAAAAAAATAATCTCTCTTGTATTAAGTCTTATGTATTTAAAATTTTAAACATAAATGGCAACAAAAGAAAAATGTAATATAAAATTTAAATTAAATTCCACAGGAAATTATTAAGTACCTATTATAGTTAAGCATTTGAAACATTTATTTTATTATTTTCTAAATAATATGTTTATGAGGATATGTTTTTATTGATTTTTTAAAGTGAGGAAAGGGCAGAGAAAGGAAAAAAACATCAATTGGTTGCCTCCCACATATATCAGGATCAGGGATCGAACCCACAACCTAGAAACATGCCCTGACCTGGAATAAACTCCCAACCTTTTGGTGTACAGGATGATGCTCCAATAAACTGAGCCGCCCAGCTAAGGGCTGAAACACTTATTTTGCAGCATAGTCTCCTGAATTAAGAATATTCATTCCACATTCTGAATAATAATTAATATTCAGTTCTCTACTTTAAGAGACACTTCCCTCTGTTGAAATTGCTTCACAACAACTTAATTTATTTATGTTTATAAAACAAGAGGTAGGTATTAGTTGGGGAATAAAAGATGAAGAGACTGTTATTATTCCTAAAACTCTTAGCTAATTTTCCACCCATAGAGATTCCTTGTTTTATTAAATGTATTATCATTAATATTAGTTTGGTGGCATGCCATTTCCCTATATTTCCTGAACAATAGACTTAAATGTAAAAATCAACCTTAAAAAGATTTTAAAAAATAATAATTTTTTTAAAAAAGGCCCTAACTAGTTTGGCTCAGCAGATAGAGTGTCATCCTGCGAAGTGAATGGTCCCAGGTTCAATTCCAGTCAAGGGCATGAACCGGAGTCGGCTGTGGCACATTCCCAGCAGGAAATGTGCAGGAGGAAGCTGAATTGATGTTTCTACCTTTCAATCCCTCTCCCCCTCCCTTCCTCTCTGTAAAAAAAAAAATCAATAAAATATATTTTTTAAAAGATGAAAAAGTATCTCATCCCTCATTGCATATGCTTACATACACAAACACAAAATACCTTATGTTTACTTACACACAGATTTGCACATTCTTTTCTACTTCCACTGAGTAGCTACATTTCTTTATTGATAGGAAATAGCAGATAATAAATTGTAACATTTTATTAGTGTTCATGAAATGCTTTTAAAAAAGGAGTGAAAATTTTTTATCTATTCTTGGATGCAAAATATATTATAAAACTTTAAAAGGCACCTCTTATGTAAAAGTGTGAAATTTACACAAAAGTTGCAAATATAATACAGATAGTTCCTGTATACCTGCAGCCCATCTCCCTCCATCACATCATGTGTTACTGTGGTATATTTTTCACAAGTAATGAACTAATATTGGTACATTTTATTAACAAAAATCCATATTTTATTCTAATTTCATTATGTTTTCCTAATAAACTTTTTCCTTTTCAGGATCCCATCCACAGTACTACCTTACAGTTAGCCATCATGTCTTGAGGAATACTGGCCAGGCACTGCTTTGCAAATGTCCATACATTTTGGTTTTGCTGGTGTTTTCTCATGTTGAGTGGATTTATGAGTTTGGGGAGGAACACCGCAGAGTAGAGATGCTATTATCAGCACATCACATCACGGGTCCATGCTATAAACATGATGACACTAACTTTGACCACCTTTCTGAAGTTGAATTTGCCAGGTTTCTCCGCTGTACAATTACTTTTTCTCCATTTTCACTGTTCTTTTGGAAGCAAGTCAGTAAGTGTAGTCAACACTTAACTGCTTAGGGGTTAAGCTCCACCTCTTTGAGAGAAAGATTATCTACATATGTTATTTAGAATTCTTCTTTGAAGAGCTATTTTCTCCTCCCATCTTTCACTTATTTATAGAATTACTAGAGGCCCGGTGCACGAAATTTGTGCAAGAGTAGGCCTTCCATCCCCTGGCTGCTGGCTCTCCTTCCCTCCAGCACCCAGGAACCTGGCTCCCCTCCAGCTGCTAGCACCCGGGACCCAAGCCTCCCTCCATCTGCAGCAGGCACCTGGGACCTGGGCTTCCCTCACAGCCCGGCTTTGTCGGGAGGTTGCCCAGAAGGACGCCCGGAAGGATGCCTGGTCTAATTGGCATATCACACTTTTATTATTATAGATGAACATTTATTTTATACTTTGAGTTTTTTCTCTAACTCTAATAATTTCCTGTAAATTTTTGCTTTAATTCAATAATATTTAATTTAATTAAAAAAAAAACCTTTACAGGTTTAAAATAGATTAAATATGTTTCTGAATATTTACAAATGAATCTTTATTATCATATGACAGTTGATGGATATTTTTTATACTTATCTCAGGAATAAAACATTCTTTTGAATTTTGTCATAAACAAATAAATGGGTAAAAATCACTGCGAGGTACCTTTGACAGTCTTTTTACCTGCTCAATGGCTTTGTCTCTCTCCATGGTGGTGAGCATTTTCTGCCGCAGCAAATTGTGGTGCTTGTCAAGTAGCACTCTGATAGTGGGTTCATACGATGCATAATGTAACCTCAACCTAGGAAAAGTAAAGGGCACCTTAGAGGGTAATTCCGCTAAATCGGTGATTTCTATTTAACATCGAAACGTTTCCTTGGCATTGGGATAAAAAATGAATAACCATATAAAGGTCAGCATAACAGAACTGAGAAGTGCAAGCAGCATTAGACAGCCTACAACTTCCCTGCCTCCGGGCTGGGAGCTGGGAAGCCGCCTTTCTAGGTATTCAAACACACACTAAGAAAATCGCTGCCATCCACAGACAGAGGGGAAAACTGTGTTCCTGTAATCCGGAACAACTTTCAGAAAGACAATGGTTATCAGCAATAGATGACTGAACAGAAAGAGCGTCATTCACATCAAAATAAAGGGCGGTCTTGAGAACAAGTTTGATTAACCTCATATTAAGGAAATTAAATATAAAAATATATTTATTATCTCACAGGAAAAAAAACACTCAGCTTATGATAGAAACACCTCTAAGAATCTGTTTTGTTTGAAAATGATTTTAAAATACTTTACTTTTTTTATTGAATTGTAATTTACATGCAATAAAATATACAGATCTTTACTGTTACAGTTTAGAGTTTTCATAACTATGCATGTCTAAGTAGTCCACCTTGTCACTAAGTTATAGAGCATTTTAACGTCTCAGGAGATGCTAGACCTTCATGTATCTGGAACACATCAAGATATGTTCTCTTTGGAAACTGGCTCCTTTCACTCAACACAGCAACCAATATATGTGTTTGCTGATTTTTTTTTTTTCTTATGTTTGTCCCATTGCAAGTTTATTGGTTGCATTTTTATTTTTATTATTTCTTTTGTTTTTCCCTCTTCGCATTTAATTTGGTCTTTTGAGCTTCTAAGTTCAAGATTAGATCACTGGTTTGAAATTTTCTTCTTTTCTAATCTAAGCATTGATCAATTTCACCTGGATTCATCCCAAAAATTTTAAAATGCTACATTTCCAATCAGTCAGTTCAAAACATTTTCCCATTTCCTTCTTTGACTCATGTCTTATTCAGAATGATTCTACTAAATTTCCAGGTAACTGGGAATTCTCCACAGAGCTTTGTGTCATCATTTTTTTTTCATTTAATTTGGTTTAAATAGAATATATTTTGCATGACATCAGTTAACACAGAGATTTATTTATTTTTTTATTTTTTATTTTTTTTATGGCTCAGCATATGACCTATTTTGGTGAACATTCCATGTGAACTTGAAAAACCAAGAATTCAAAAAGGTCAATTAAGCTCAAATAACTTGTCTTCTTCTATAGACTTAGAGAATGTTTGCCTATTTTTCTGCTAATTGCTAAAAGATTAGTGTGAAAAATCTTCAAATGTAAATGTGGAAATATTTATACTTCCTTTCTGTTTTATCAGGTTTTGCTCCATATATTCTGAAACTCTTATATCAGATTCATGCATGTTGACCTTTCCTGATGAATTGACTCTTTTTATCAACAGGAAATTACATATTTTTCTCTAGCAGTTAGGATGGCCCTGAGGATCTAAGTCTGTGGCCCCTTTTCCCAGGCCCCATGGGCTTGCAGAGGTGGCCCTTCTTCCCTAGAAAATGCTGCTTCAGAAATCTCTTCATCACAAGGTAAGAGATGGCCCTGGAATTACTCCTCTTCCCTCCTCTCCTGACTGCCAAGCTAATGGTCTGACAAGGAAAGAAAGATACTATACATTCAACTGCTCCAAGAATTACTAACCATATACTAACAGGAACCAGAAGAGTGCCCCAAAGATTGGACTTTGAGGAACTTGATAAAAAGGGCTATAAACTAGGACTGGTTAAATAAAAATTCATTGACCTTGAACCAGTTTCTTTAAGACACTGAATTTTCCAAGTACTGGAGCAAGAACACCAACAAAGGAAGTGAAATCACTCCTGGAGTAGCTCTTAGAAACTTAGAAAAAGTGAGAGCCAAACCTCAGCAACATGGAAATGCCTGAGCTGCCCTTGCAGAGAGCAGAGGGCATGACAGCAAGAGCCTAAACTTGCTCATCTTTGAACATCAGATGCATAGTTTAGTATTTGGCACACAGTGTATGCCAAATAAATGTTGAATAAATAACTTCACATGAAACCTTCTGCCATAACCAAGCTGTTTAACACTAATTAAACACTTCTTTAATAAATATGCCAACAAATATTAGCAGCTTACCCTTTGAGCTCATTAATTAATTTGTTTTTTTCTTGGATTATTCGCTTGTGATGCATTCGATGAAAATCACGTTCTTTCTGAGTTTTCAGCAGATCTTCTCTAGCCTTGCTGAAAAATAATAATAACTTTAAAGATCTTTGCTAGTTCCTTTCTTAAAAAAAAAAAGTTATTTAGCTGTAAGTTAAAATCCACTATTGAACAATTCCAAAGAACATTGAGAAACAAAGATTCCATTATAATTCTCATTGAAGAATCCCAATCAACATACTGTATATTGAGATGGGGGATGAATGGGTCAAAACCTGTACTTTCATAAATAGCATTCATTCACATTTTATTGAAGTAAAGAAAAATGAAAGTCATGCTGCTGCCAAAATAACTTATAATCCACCTACTTCCAAAAAGAATTTATTTATAAAATTGAAATATAGGCAAAACAGAGTAATTCCAAATAATCACAAGATAATGACTTTACAAAATGTAAGACTTCTGAACTTGTTTAAATACATAGCTAAAAGAGTATGCATTGAGTTACTTAGTTCTGATAATTGTGAAAAAGAAAGCAAACACAAGATTTGTTTTTCTGGTAATGCATATGAGAAATACACACTACCTGCAGATCAAATTACTAACATTATTGGTAATTTGATGAGAAAGGTCTTCAAATTTAGAATTGTAATATAGAAGCATTCTTCAAATAGATGCATATTCTGAAAATCCCTAGCATAAAGCAAAAATATTTTAAGCCCAAGCTGTCTGCGAAAAAATTAATAGAAATATTTTGCCCACCCCCATAATATTGGTTTCAATATAAAAAAAACACAAAATATAATTTGTAATGAAAAAGTGGTTGTCTAACAGTCTCAGTTAAATGACAAAGTGCCACTGCGTAGAAACTCTCATGTTCTGAAAAGAGATAAGCTGAATTAGAGTGCTGACATCTCACAGGATGATCGGAAAGGAATAAATCTGCTTCTCGGGATCACAGTATTTCAAAACACAGATTCACATCATGAAATGCACGCAAGCAGATTTCTGCTTTAGGAGCGATGTCACAGTAATCACTGACTAGCAGGGACTGTGATGCTGCCAGGTAAGAGGGAAGCGGTTAGGTGTCCAGGCGGCTTGATCAAGTCACACGTGGCATATGGCCCCAGTGTCCTGTCTGTTCTTTCAAATGTCCTTCATTGAGAATCCCCTCCCACTCCTCCTTTCAGGGAGGATGACCTGTATCATTTTTTTTGACTACCATTATGCAATGTTTACTGCATATATCGATAAATAAACAATATGTCACAGTACGCATGGCTCCCTTCCACCATCTACCCTCCATTTCCATGCCCATATCTTGAAAGTGCTCCAAAATATTCATTAAAATATTTAGTCTTGAAAAAAAAATCATCTGAGGAGTATGCCAATGATAGGTGAACAAATGATGTCTTCTTTCCAGATTTTACCCTCCGTGTGTGTGAATGAAGATGGACCAAAAAAAGAGAGAACCCTCTGCCACCACGAGGCTGATGAGTCGGCATGAAGAGGAGGAGAGAGCGCCATTTAAGTTCAGTGACTGGGAAAGACGAGTGGCTGTGTTGACATTCAGTTGTGTAAACAGAAGAATAACACCTGAATTCTCCCTCATTTAGAAGAAAGCATGTAAAGTGGCTTATGTTCTGTCTAGCACATGGAAAATACTCAGGGAATGTTACTGTGATCATGTGATCACCATCGTATTAATCTTACTACTGGACATAGTAGAAAAGATATATTCCAGTCCTCTAACTACTAGACTTAGCTACCTAAAATAGGGGGCATCCTAGTAGGTAAGTTTCCTCTACTTCACAAAAAAATATCAAAATTAATGATCATTATAAACCTATCTTTTTAAAGAATTTAAACTTTTATGAACATCTATTTTACATCTACTAAGACTGCCTTACTTTCAATAACTTGATAAATTAAATAAATGAACTTATGTTTTATTTATCTTATCTGAAATGTAAAACCATAATAGGATTTAAAAAAGAAATACAGGGTAGGGCAAAAGTAGGTTTACAGTCGTTTGCTTGAAAAACAAGATAATAAATAATAAATGATACAAGCATATACTGTTTCTCATCCTCACAACTATAAAGCTACTTTTGCTTTGCCCTGCCCTGTATGCAGAAAAATAATGCTGCAAAGTTTCTTCAGCAGGACCACAAATGTGCAGCATGGCGTCAACTCACTCTTTAAATACACATTACAGGCCTATTTGTACTCATCCAAGAGAGGAAAACATAGGAATTGATTGAAGTATTAGACCTTAAAGTTTTTCTGACCATTAAATTGGTTTTCTGAGACTTGCATTCTGTTTGCACAAATGAAGTCTCCTCAGTCAAACAATTTAAATTCATTTCATGGTGATGCCTTTCCTATTAATATTATGACCTCCCCGTGGCCTGTCTGCTTAATAAAAGGAAAATAAAAGCAGTTCTAAAAATATTCATAAAACACTGATAACCAATTAATAATTCAAACTATAAAGAATTTTCTTATTATATTAGCAGAGCATGTTTGTGTTAAGAATAAACTTTTACTAAGACAGAAAGCAAACATGGAGATTGTATTTTGAGTATACTGCGTAAGAGTTCTGCAGTGAAACATTCTACTGAGATTTGTGTATCACAAACAACACACTGTACATGCTTCTTCTCTTAAGGAGATGGCAGGATGACCATTTACTAATGATTTCCCCATTTCAGCAAACCAGCATATCAAAATCCACTGTTAAAGTATAAAATATAAAGACACATAGTCTTTATGGCCTGCTATAAAAACCTTGCCCTCAAAACTCCACATTTCCACATGGGAATGTGATTTAATACTGTACTCTATTTTTCTGGGGTTTTTTTTAATTTTCTTTATTGATTAAGGTGTTACATATGTGTTCTTATCCTCCACCCCTGCTCATTCCCTCACCCGCCCCACCCCACCCCCACTCATGCCCTCACCCCCCTGGTGTTCCTGTCCATTTGTTAGGCTTATATGCACGCATGCAAGTCCTTTGGTTGATCTCTCCCCCTACATTTCCTCTGAAGTTTGACTGTCTGATCTATGCTTCTCTCTGTCTCTGAATCTGTTTTTGTTCATCAGTTTATGTTGTTCATTATATTCCACAAATGAGTGAGATCATGTGATATTTATCTTTCTCTGACTTATTTCGCTTAGCATGATGCTCTCCAGGTTGATCCATGCTGTTGTAAATGGTAAAAGTCCCTTCCTTTTATAACAGCGTAGTATTAAGCGAATTCCCCAGTAAAATAATTTTATTAGCCTAATAGTTTTAATTATATATTCTGGAGTAACCATTTAACAATGAGTTTACTGGAGTACTTTGTTATAATAATTTTGCAAAGGGAAGCATATAAACATTTTATTTACCTGCACTAATCAAAGCAAGCCTTCATTGTCAAGTATATGTCACATGTGCCAACTTAAGTCAATGCATTTTCCGGGATCAGTATTATAGGATTACCAATTATTTCATTGTCTTGAGTTGGTTATAAATGAATTAGTTTAATCCACTAAAATCAATATTGGGATAATTTTTTAATAGACAAAATGGAATTCAACCAGATTAGAAAAAAACTTTCATTATATTCTTAACCAAAAAAGATAGGGTATACCCATATCTAGAAAATAAAAACTTCCTTAATTTAAGAAGCAATTACTTAAACACTAAAGTAAAAAATTTGGGAGACCTTATTATTATCTTTATTTTCACAGTAGGTGTTTTTTTCCTGAAAGTCATTGTAAGTAAAGGGTCTTTAGAAAAGCTGGGTACACTGACTTTTTATAGACATGAATTTTGTAAATGAAATTGGGACCCCTTGATAAAGTACTCAATTTATTTAGTCAAAATTAATTGCAATTTAATTAAAATTAACATTTATTGGGTATTTACTATATGTCAGACATTGTGTTAAACACTTTAAAATGATTCCTTCAAGAATAAGTAAGATTACCCCACTTGCATATGAGAAAAGTGAGTGAAAATATATTCTCATATCAAAAAGTGAGAGCACCATGTATTTGTGTTGCTTTGTCCACAACACCTGATCCTGTATTGATATCTATTCTAAACCCAAGTTTGAGTCAACCAATACAGAGTTTGATAGTTTCATTATTACTGTATTGTTACCATCTAAATTAATCGGTAAGGCGGTTATTCATGATTAACAATGTTATCCATGTTTCCCTCGTGTCCCTCCATCAGTCTATTGTCCACACAAGGGCCAGCTCCTCAAAACTATCCATTAGTGCGCACTCCACTCAGAGGAAAGAGGACATTCTTTAAAAGGCCTCTACCACTCGCCCCTCGCCCCAGTCACTGTGTCTTCCTGCTAACAAGCCACGCGGTCCCCACCTGCTCCCTCTGGAATGCACTTCCTCTTCCCTCTGTCCGGAATGCCCTTTCCCAAGCTCCCATGTGGCCTCTCTCTCAGCATCTTCCAATATCTGACTGGACTTCTCTCTCCAGCCTATCAAAAACAGCACTCCGCTCACTTCTGTCCCTGTTCCCAGCTGAGTTTTCTTCACAACACTTACCACCACCTGGCACAGGTCTATCTGTTAACATCCACGTGTGCTAGTGGCTGTTGTATTGGGCAGGATAGCCTTGGAGTGAAAACGGTGTGATGGTATGGAGAGAAAAAGAAGAAGAAAAAGAAGACTGTCAGTGGGGAAGGAGAGGCGGAACAGGATGTTGTCATAGAAGCTGACAGAGGAGAGGAATGAAAGATAGTACAAGAGGAGGGTAGAAAGCCAGACTAAAGGATGTCAAAGAACAAGTGCAATTGTCTGTGTCCGTGGGTTATGCACGTATGCCTGTGAGTTCCTTGGTTAATCTCTCCCCACCCACCCCATGTCCTGCCTTCCCCCTGAGATCTGTCAGTCTGTCCCATGCTTCCATGTCTCTGGATCCACTTTGTCCATCAGTTTATTTTGCTCTTTGGTTCCGCATATGAGTGAATTCAGACAACAGTGTGGTGAGGGCCTGGGGGTAGGGGGGCTGGTGGGTGCAGGGTGGAGAAGGGTCAATGAGGAAAAAAAGGCACATATATAATAATGTCAACAATAAAGGTAAATTTAAAATAATAATTAAAAGTTATTTTAAGTAAAATGTAATCGGTGTTTTTAGGAATAAAACAGAAAATTGAGAATTTATAATATCTACATTATGAGAATGAGAAAATGCTAACCAAGATATGAAACAATATAAGCAAACAGGTTCTTAATTAATGAGACTCTTACAAGTTTTTATGGATCTCAGACTGAGGTTAATATTGTAGAATGTCAACCACCAAATTAAACAAGGTTTATAAAATAGTGTCTTGGCTATGAAAGATTTTATGACTCTAGTGATGCTTTCTAGTCTTTATTTAACAAACAGTTCTCTATTAATATGTGGCAGATCACTGAAGTTCTAGACCTCTGCATTTAAAATTATAATTGATCTACATTTCTACATAAAAGTACAGTTGTATTCTCCTTTTCCAAAAAATAATGCCAAACTACTACATATATAAATCTTCTCTGTTATCCAGAACATATTATTACCTTTAATGTAACTATAAATATTTTTAATAATACATTTTCCCTTAAGAACATCGATGAGGAAAACTTCCAGAAGTCATTTCCCAAACGTTTTTAAATCAAGTTATAACTATTATTTCCAGGTGTACAACGTAATGATCCTATATAATAAAAGGGTAATATGCATATTGACCTTAATGGCGAAATGACCAGGAATGATCGGTTGCTATGATGCGCACTGATCACAAGGGGGCAGACGCTCCACACAGGAGCTGCCCCTGGTGGTCAGTGAGCTCCCACAGGGGGAGCCCCGATCAGGAAGAATCTGGCTCATGGCTGGCCAGCACAGTGGCGGTGGCGGGAGCCTCTCCTGACTCCGCAGTAGCACTAAAGATGCCCAGGGGGCCGAAACCGGTTTGGCTCTGTGGTAGAGCGTAGGTCTGTGGACTGAAAGGTCCTGGGTTCGATTCCGGTCAAGGGCATGTACATTGGTTGCGGGCACATCCCCGGTGGGGGGTGTGCAAGAGGCAGCTGGTCGATGTTTCTCTCTCATCGATGTTTCTAGCTCTCTCTATCTCTCTCCCTTCCTCTCTGTAAAAAATCGATAAAATATATTTTAAAAAGAAAATGGTGCCCAAGGGAACAGGCCTAAGCCATTAGTCAGACATTCTCTGAGGGCTCTCAGGCTGCCAGAGGGATGTCTGACTGCCAGCTTTGGCCTGATACCCCCAGGGGTGGGCCTAAGCCAGCAGGTGGAAATCCCCCAAGGGGTCCCGGATGCAGGCCAGGCTGAGGGAACCCCCCACAAGTGCATGAATTTTCCTGCACCGGGTCTCTAGTTTTATATATTTACTAGAGGCCTTGTTGGGTCCCTCGGACTGGCCTGCACCCTCTTGTAATCCAGGACCCCTCAGGGGATGTCAGATTGCCAGTTTCAGCCAAATTCCCATAGGCCAGGCCAAGGGACCCCACCAGTGCATAAATCCAAGCACCAGGCCTCTAGTATAGATATAAGATCTTTGGTTAATCTCTTCTCACTCTCCCTTCTCCCCTTTCCCTATGAGATTCATCAGTCTGTTCCATGTTTCCATGCCTGTGCATTGAGTGTCTGCCCCCTGGTGGTCAGTGTGCCTCATAGCTACCAGTTGAACAGTCGAATGGTCAGACAGTAGAACAGTCACTTAGGCTTTCTAGTAGCCCTGCACACAAATCCATACGCCGGTAGCTCACTGCCACTACTCCGCCTCCTGTAGTTCCCCCTGCCCCGCTCATAACTAGCTGCCCTGCCCCCTCCTGTAGCTCTCCACTGCCCACATGTAGCTCACTGCTCCATTCTCCTGCTGGTCCATGATCTCGCCATTAAGCAGTCGGTCGTTATGCTTCACGGCATAACAACCATTTGCATATTACATCTTTATTATATAGGAAAGATTTCAGAATCATCACCACAATAAGTCTAATTAACATCTCTCACCATATATACATATACAACATACACCAAATTTTAAATTTTAGGATATAATCTATATTTGTAGCAAGCATAGGAAAACCTCTGTTCTAAAATTGTCATTGGTTACACCAGAAAGATAATTTCATTTTTAATTTAGCAACACAAATTATATTTTAAAGTGAAATATTTTCCCTTTCTATTCTTCATCCTTTATCACTGCTGAATTTTTTAAAAATGTTAATGTGAAGACTAAAAAAAAAAATCTACTATGCATGACAGCCTTTAGAGATATTGATAATAATAGCTGACATTTTCAAAGCACTCTGTGATTTACAGCTCTTTAATCTAGATTGTCTCTTTAATTATCACAGCACTCCCTAGGAGTTAATAATATTATGTATATTTACTCCCAGTTTAACAATAAGAAAGCTAAGTTAATAAGTAGCAAAATATTAGAAGCAAGGTGTTTGAACTTTAGGTTCAGTACTCTTTTCAAAGCTACTCTCTCCTAGGTAAATATTAAGCCTAATAGAGGCCCGGTGCATGGATTCATGCACCAGTGGGGGTCCCTCAGCCTGCCCAGCAGGGATAGGGCCAAAACTGGCAGCCTGGCATCCCCCAAGGGGTCCTGGAGTGTGAGAGGGCAATCTACAAAGTTGCTGTTGCTCAGCAGCTCCTGCATTGAGCATCTGCTCCTGGGTGGTCAGTGCACATCATAGCTACCAGCCAGTCAATTGGTAGCTTAGGATATTTTATATATATATATATGTGTGTGTGTGTGTGTGTGTGTGTGTGTGTGTGTGTGTGTGTGGAACCTTTTTGCAGGAAGATTCCTCTGTGTTTCCTATAATTTTTTGATTTTTTGTTTTTTCTGAAATTAGCTTATCCTCACAGGATAAGATTTGACAAATCATGAGAAGATTATCAAAATACAAAAGGAAGTGAATGTTATATATTAAATTAACCATCTCCTGCACAGCCTCTTGCATTCTACTCTTGTTGATGAGTTGCAGTTGTGAGCTAGTGACAGTTAAAGGTTCAGTTAATTTGCTAGTGACAGTTTTCACATTCTTTCAAACTAGAACTTAAATATAATTCAGTTCTCCAGAATGAAAGCTCTGGTACAGTAACTGCTGTCCACATATTAGCCTCACTCAGCTCTTTACTTTTATTTAGTCCAAAATAAACGAGGGGGGCGGGGGGAGGTGTAGAAAGTCATTTAAAAATTAACTTACTCTGCTGCCTGTTTCCACTGCTTCAAGTCTTTCTTCAAAGTTTTGTTTTCATTATCTAAATGCATATTCTGGATGTAGACATCTGGAACATTCCCAGCATCTCTAAGTTTGGTTCCTCCCTTCTGTATTAATTCATACCTAGAATAAAATGGGGGAAAAAAGGCTTTAAGTTGTTTCTTTCAACCAAACTGCTAAATGTATGTACCATTCAAAAAATTAATTCCGGGTAACCGTTTATAGAAATTACTTGTAGCATTACTTTATATATTAAAATGTCAACATTCATAACATATTTTTAAATAATAATTAATAAATTGCTGGATACAAATATCATCATGGTGCATCAAATATAACTGAGTATCTCTTATGTTTCATGCACTAATCTAGACACTGGTAAAATTAACAACATGATTCAATTCTCTATCTAATGAAGTTTCCATTCTAGTGTGGATGGTATGTTCTCTATGAAGTACATAAGCAGAGTACCAGGGATAGACTGAATTGGAGGGTGGTGGTAGTGTTCCCATATTTTTATATAGGATGGTCAGAGAAAGTGACATATTTTATAAAGGACGGCCAGAGAAAATATCACTATGACTGGCAAAGTGATATTTGAGCAGAGAACTGAAGGAAATGAAAGACTAAGCCATGTGGATATGTGGGAGAGTATTCTTGGCTGATAGAAACCTAAGGGCTCTGAGACAAGGAAGCGATTGGCTTGTACAATACAGAGCAAAAGCCAGTCTATGGAGAGTTATCTGGAGTCGTGTAAGAGATGGGTGAAGAAGACAGCAGGGAGCCGGGAAAAAGGAATGTGATTTTACTCTGAATCAGACTGAAGCCATGGGTAGGCTTTCAGGGATAAGTGACACTCTCTCTCACCTGCTCTAGTTTCACTAACTCACTCTGGGGGAGCAAAAGTAGAATCAGGGAGACTAGCTCAGAGGCTGCTACAACAGTCCGAGGGAGAGAGAATGGTGCATGAACAAAGCTGGTAGCAGTAGAGATTAGGGAAAACGGGCCCCTTCTGGACGTGCTGGAAGGGTGGAGCCAACAGGAATTTCTTATAAATCAGCTGTCAGGGGGTAGTTAGAAAGAAAAGTCAAACCCTGATTCCAAGGTTTCTGGGTGAGCAACAGACAGCCATTTCCTGATACAGGGACCAATGCAGTAGGAACTGGATAATTAAAGAATTCAAGGAATTTTTCCTATTCATGTTAAATGTAATATGTCTTCTGCACAATCAAGTGAAGATGAATACTAGATATACATGTCCAGAGTTCAGGAAAAATGTCAGGACATGCCATTTAACTTTGAGAATCATCAGTAAACAGATACTATTTAAAGTCACAAGACTGGAGGAGGCCAGGTAGGGAGTGAATGTAAAGAGAGAAGCGAAGAAGTCCTAGGACTGTTTAAGAATGGGAAGAAAAGGAAATACTACTAAACAGACTAAACAAGAGAAGAAGCCATGAGGTAATGGGAGAATATGAGAGTTGTGGCTCAGGAATGAAGTGAATTACATGCTGGAAGAAGAAAGAACGACAGTGACAAACGCCACACAGAGGGTGAATAAAAGGAATATATCTTTATAATGCTTGCTACAAATGGGCAGAGCATTAGTTTTTAAATGTTTAATTATCAGTATTTTCATATTACAAATCTTAACTTTATTATTATGACACATTAATAGTCATATGTTATCTGAAATTAAAAAAAAGTGAGAAAAAGGTTGAGATAATTGAATCAATAGTAAGTAGTATTTGTCATGATTTCTAAAACAGCAAATTGATAACCATTTAATCATAAGTTCACTTTTTATCCATATTTCAGATGTGATTTATACTTATCTCAGAAGAAAAAGCATAGGATTGATTGAAGTATTGGACCATAAAGTTTTTCTGAGCATAAAATTGGTTTTAGCAAATTCCTTTATTTAATGCAGAAAAAAATCACTAAAAAAAATTACTTCAGAAAGAAAAAAAAGGTGATATGGAATCCTCTAAAATAAACACTATGTAAATAAATTAATATGTGGTAAAATAAGTAAAAAATCAAACATAACACATATTACAACATCTGTATCTAAGACATTTGAAAGTTACTTTACAAGGAAAATTTATACCATCATGTAAAAATACCAAAGTTGACTTTAAACTCACTAAAACTAGTATAATACTATAAGGTAATTAGTAACTATAATCTACAAACTGGAAATTTCTCAGTAAAATCTACCTATTCCTACATAAGATTTTTGGTTCTTTGTGTGTATTTTATTTTAGTTTTATTTATTTATTTATTTCAGAGAGAGGAATGGGGAGAGAGAGAGAGAGAGAGAGAGAGAGAGAGAGAGAGAGAGAGAGAGAGAAATATCAATGATCAGAGAGAATTCATCAATTGATAGGCTGCCTCCCGCACGCCTCCCTTACCTACTCCATCTAACCCCCTACGCTCCCCTACCCAGGGGGATCCAGCCTGAAAGCCAGCATGTGCTCTGACCTAGAATAGAACCATGATCCATGGTTCATGAATCAATGCTCAACCACTGAGCCATACTGGCCAGGCTGTGTGTGTATTTTTTTAAAATATCCTGGTCTTCTTATTCCTTCCTCCTTAGTCACTTCCCTTAGATTAAGACTAAAAACTATTCATATATAAGTATTAGGAACTAGAAATACAATTTACTGCCAATAAACTTGCCAACTAATTACTGCCAATAAATTTACATTAAGGTCGACAAACTAATTATAGTTCTATGCAGATTGAGTAAATACATATATTTCATGGATAAAGCCTATAGGCTTTCATAAGACCTGTGTATTCACCAAAAGACTTTAAGACCCACTGCCACAAATGGATACTAATATGCTAGAATTTCAGTGAATATATAAACAGTGCAGTAAGAGAAAGCATCATTTTTCTTTTTTTGATGACTTTTGTTCCAATAAAATCTTCTTTATGAAAACAAAAGGTGGGCTGGAGTTGGCTCAAGGTCGTAGTTTGTGGACCTCAAATTAAATAATTTATTTCAATTACTATTTGAGAATTGAAAGGACACAAATCAAATTTCAGTACCCAGATGTGGCTTTTTTTATTTTGAATATTTCTGTTTGTTTGTTTTACAAACTAACATTGGAAAAGCCTTGGTTGCAACTCTTTGTAAGATGCAAGGATTTCTGGCAATGGTATATGTTTTTCTCCATAATCAGAATGATAGAAGTAATTAACATTCCTATAATCTTATTATGCAGAATACGTAAAGGTTTCTGGTCAAAGTCACAATGTTACATGTGAAATAAAAAATATCCAATACAGTATACTAATCTGAGTACAAAGTGCAATCTCATTACTAACTGGCCACCAGGAATAAGGATAAAATTATTGGAACCCAAATAATAAGATATTTTATATGAATTTTACTTTCTGATGGTAATATTATGCTAAATGGGGTTCTAAAATTCCTAGCATAATCGCATGCTAGGAATTTTATGCTTACTTGGGGTTCTAAAATTCCTACCACAATTTCAGTATCCTGACATTTCATCTCAATTCAAACTGCTAACTTTCAACGGACAGTATGGCAAGCACCTAACTGTTCGGAGTATACTCGCTTCCACAAGCCTCCGAGGGAGTCATGTCACACTGTAGGCTGGCCAAACGTGGAAGCACCACGTCCTCCTCTCAGAAGAAGAAAAAGATTAATTGAACCACATTAATCTTTCATTTCATTGGTACCGCAAACTAACCATCTGTCTACTTGTACAAAAATATATTTCTAACACATTTGTAATTATTTTTAGGGACATTTTCATTAAAAAAAAAAAATTCACATGATTTCAAGATTTAATAGGAACAATATTATTTTCTCCCATGAAAATGGCTCTTTTCCCTGAATTATAATAATGGAAAATGGTTCTCCTCGTTCAATGCATTAATATTAGATACGCTACTAAGGAAAACCACATGGGCAGTGTGGCTCAGTGGTTGAGCATCATGGTTCCATTCCTGGTCAGGGCACATGCCTAGGTTGCAGGCTGGATCCCCAGTGTGGGGTGTGCAGGAAGCAGCCCATCGATGATTCTCTCTCATCACGGATGTTTCTATCTCTCTGCCTCTCCCTTCCTCTCTGAACTTAAAAAAACATATAGCCGAAACCGGTTTGGCTCAATGGATAGAGCGTCGGCTTGGGAACTGAAGGGTCCCGGGTTCGATTCCAGTCAAGGGCATGTACCTTGGTTGCGGGCATATCCCCAGTGGGGGGTGTGCAGGAGGCAGCTGGTCGATGACTCTCTCTCATCGATGTTTCTAACTCTCTATCTCTCTCCCTTCTTCTCTGTACAAAATCAATAAAATATATTTAAAAAAAAAATATATATATATACACACACACACACACACACACACACACACCCATATTTTTCGGACCATAAGACGCTCTGGACCATAAAACGCACCAGTTTTTAGAGAAGGGAAATGAAGAAAAAAAGATTCTGAAACAAATAGTGTCCTAAAATATTTTATGTGCATTAAAACCCAACATCACAGTCATAAACACATGTAATCAACCCTGTAAAGTAAACAGCAGCATTTAGAACCATTTTAGAGCCGGGCAAGCACACAGAGACCACACAGAGCCGGGCAAGTAAAAAAACTTTTTTTTAAAAGTATATGTGTAGGCTATATTTGGACCATAAGACGCAGGGACTTTTTCCCCCCATTTCTGGGGGAAGAAAAGTGCGTCTTATGGTCCGAAAAATACGGGTGTGTGTGTGTGTGTGTGTGTGTGTGTGTGTATGTGTGTATATATTTTTTTATATATATATATGTTTTTTTTTTAAATAACTGATTTCTTCTATGTGCATGGTCCAAGTATATGAGAAGCAAAAACCAAACAGAAAGTGCCAAAACCGGTGTGGCTCAGTGGATAGCGCATCGGCCTGAAAGGTCCCAGGTTCGATTCCGGCCAAGGGCATGTAGGCACATTGGTTGTAGGCACATCCCCAGTGGGGGTTGTGAGGAGGCAGCTGATTGATGTTTCTCTCTCATCAATGTTTCTAAATTTCTATCCCTCTCCCTTCATCTCTGTAAAAAAAAATCAATAAATTATATTTTTTTTAAAACAGAAAATAAAAATTATACTACAGTTGGATTAGTAGAAATCACAAATTACCCTTATATTTAAAACTAGGATTAACTAAAAAACATTATAAACATTTTTATATGGCATATCGTTCCCTTTCTGTAATATCCAATGGCCTTTAAAGATCAAAATTTCATATCTGATTACTTAGTAATATTTTGTGAAAGAATAGGACACTGCACACTCGCTGGTTTCGCACAGTGGATAGAGCATTGGCCTGCCGGCTGAAGAGTCCCAGGTTCGATTCAAGTCAAGGGCACATGCCTAGATTGTGGGCTCAGTCCCCAGTAGGGGACATGCAGGAAGCAGCCCATCAACGATTCTCTTTCATCATTGATGTTTCTATCTTTCTCTCCTCTCCCTCCCTTCCTTTTTGAAATATATATATTTTATATAATTTAATTTTATATAATTTATATTATAATTATAAATATAAAATTTTATATAATTTAACCAATAAGTTATTAAAATTAAATTATGACCAAAATTTTTTGTCATTAAGCATGATTTGAAAATGTTCCCACTTACTTTCTAAATGAAGGAAAACTTATAGAAAATGAATTGATCATTTATGTGAGTAGAGAAAGGCAGGCCATTACACTATCCTATATAATAAAAGGGTAACATGCAAATTGATCCTAACAGCAGAACAACTGGGAATGACTAGTCACTATGACACCAACTGACCACTAGGGGGCAGACACTCAAAGCACCTGCACTGACCACCACTGGCTCAACCAAAGTCAGGCTGATCACTGCGAGCACAGTGGTGGTGGTGGGAGCCTCTCCCACCTCCGTGATAGCGCTAAGGATGTGCAACTGTGGGGAGTGGGCATAGGCCATCAGTTGGTCATCTTCTGAGGGCTCCTGGGCTGCCAGAGGGATGTCTGACTGCAGGATTAGGAATGATCCCCTGGGGAGAAGCCTAAGCTGGCAGGTGAACATCTCCTGATGGCTCCAAGCTGCCAGAGGGATGTCTGACTGCCAGCTTTGGCCAGATCTCCCAGAGAGAGGACCTAAGCTGGGAGTGGACATCCTCTAAGGCACATGTGTCAAACACAAGGCCCGCGGGCCAAATCCGTCCCGCCAGGCCTTGCAATGTGGCCCGCACCACGCTGTCATCACTGCACTCCGCTGCGTTTCCATCACAATGACAGTTTATGACTGTTCAGTAAACCATTCGGCCCGCGATTTAGGCTGGATTTTAGATTTTGGCCCCTTCTCTGATTGAGTTCGACACCCCTACTCTAAGGGGTTCTGGACTGCAAGAATGCATAGGCCAGGCTCAGGAATCCCCTGAGTGCACAAATTTTCGTGCACCTGGCTTCTATTGTAGTAAGTAAAATAATTAAAGTGGTACTATTAGTAGGAATTCTTAATAAAGGAAATAAAACCCTTACTACTTATGCAGAAGATATTAGGGAAAGTATTTCATAAAGTAGCTTTGTATTATATTATATAACTCCAGGAGATATTCTATCTTCTAGATTTTTAAAAATCACCTAATATTTTTATTTCAGAAAGATGGTATTCTGATTATGTGCACATATGTGTTTTGAGTGTGCTTGTGTGTGTGTGTGTTGTGGTGTCAGCAGCAGGGATGTTGACACCACAACATACCATCCATTTCATTCATCTTGTGTAAACTGAGTGACTTCAATCTTATAAAAGTGTACATGTTAAATGTTAGCATTTCTGATAACTATTTATCTACATTATTGTTTACCATTCAGATTGAAAGCAATCAAGAGTTCTGGTCATTCCCATTTTGATCAGGAAATTGCAGAGAAAGTCTTCTATTACTTCAGGTACTACATGCTTTGAAGGAAGAACTGTTTTCTGCTCCTAAAATACAAAGTTTAATTAATTATTTTGAAAACATTGAATCTTTCATTAATGGCATTGATTCATTTACTAATTTGTTCTTTTTTTTTCAAGTTTTTGTTGGAATAGATGATACAGCCCTAAAAACCTAACATATAACTGACTTTTGAGAGAACAAATTTGCAAGCACCTAGACTTCCAATTATTTCAATTATTTTATACTATTTCCAACTATTTAACTATACTTAACTTTCACAAAACCATGACCTTTCACTTGCAATCATTAATGAACATTTTAAAAGTCCTCATTGAATAGAGATTATTGCATCTTTCTATTGCATAGAAGAATATATATCTTATTTATAAACAGATATAATAGAATCATAACAAAAGAAAAGTTGGGTTCATAAACAATAAATATTCTTTGAAACAGAAAGCCCATGGCACAATCCAAATCTAGTTTGTGAAGATAAAATACTATAGCAATAAAAAACAAATTAGCCTTTGCTGGTTTGGCTAGGTAGATAGAGCATTGGGCTGCAAACAGAAGGGTCCCAGGTTCAGTTCTGATCAGGGGCACATGCCTGGGTTGTAGGTTGATCCCCAGTAGGGGGCATGCAGGAGGCAGCCAAATAATGAATATCTCTCATTATTGATGTTTCTCTCTCTCTCTCTCTCTCTCTCTCTCTCTCTCTCTCTCTCTCCCTTCCTCTCTGAAATCAATAAAAATATTTTTAAATAGAATACATAATTGATATGCTTATCATAAAAAGAACCCATATTTAATTTTCAAAGCTTAAAGGGCAATTTTTGTAAATTTTCTGCAGAGCATCATTCTGCCAAAGAACTCAAAAAAACAGGTACATAGAACTTAAATGAGAGCCAACCAGCTATAAATATGCCAGAAATATAGAAAGTTAATTCTTGCAAGGTTGTGATTTAAAAAAAAAAATTGATGAGAACAATTACTGATATTTAGTTCAATAGATATGACTGCTACCCCATTGTCTTCCTTGGATTTATCTTTTTACAAACAGATTCCAGCATGATATCAGATACAAAGAAGTAATTCTAATTTGGGTCTTAATATTTTCATTCTATGACTATCCATTCACTTACTCAACTGCTATTCATTTAGTTTCTCCTATGTACCAAGTACCATGTTAGGCATATCTATCTTACTTACCAAGTAACAAAATGAATGAGTAATACATAGTGTATTTTTTAAATTCTCTTTTACTTAATGGCATAAAGCAAGAGGGAAGATGATCAATGGATAAACTGCTTATCATTCAAAATGCGGTATTTTAAAACTATTCCTATAAATTATTGCATTGAGACTTCTCTTTGTGTCTAAATAGAAGGGAACTATTTCTATTGTATGCATTAGAAAATGCATTTTACTATGAGCTAGAGTCCTCTATTTAAAACAGAATATAATCAATTCCAGATTCAAGAACTCCTCCTCTTGAGGTTGTTTGTTTTGTAATGTTTTGTTTTTTTAACAGACAGATGTTTTGGAAAGGAGTTACTGGATATCTAGACAGAAAAAGTCTACAAAATATGAAAAGAATGACACAGGGAGCAAAGTCTATCACACACTATTTTGCACTGAGGAAGTCAAGTCCGTAACTAAATAAGAATATCACGATTTTCTTCATATTTCTTTATCAAAAAAGGTTATAACATTTTTAAAGTTCATCCTTCTTAATTAATATTGTTATAAAATATTAAGCACTTTAAAGTCATTTTGTCATCATCATTAAATTATGAACTTTTAAATGAGTTTTCAATTTTACAGGAACACCATCCTTGTATTTACTTTTAACTGGTGGTATTATAATCATAAGACATCCTCCACCATATTCTTTAGTGATATTAGTTCATAGGCCTCACAAGGAAAAATATCATAATATATTGGGCACTCCTTAAGAGCTAAATATTTCTATGGGGGACAGGGGAAGGCAAGATGTAGAATGCTTATAAAGCAGATTGTAGACTCTGCATACAATATCCAATTCTGTACATAAGTGTTGCAAATCCTTGGTTTAATCTTCAATTAAATAGGCAGAGTTCTGAGGGATAGTGTCATTTATTTCAGTCATGCAAGAATAACCACGGTGTGGAAAATGATAAACCAAAGAAGAGTGAATATGACTACTTATTGAAAGTGAAGGCTTGAAGATAGAGAAATAGAAGTGAAAAAGACATAATAGGAGCTAGGGCTGCATTTAATAAGTGAAGTTCCTGAAATATAAACAACTTGCAAAACTTCACATAGAAAAGCATCACTGGTGAACTATAGGCTATGGTTATGTTTAAACTCACCAAAATCTCAGCATCTGTACTCTGTTCTTGAACCATCTGAACTGCTTTTGCCAGATCCTCTTCACCCTCTGGAATGCTAAAATTGTCATCTGGTATCTAAATCATGAAGAAAGAGAAGGATAGTAAGGGTTAGCAAGAAAATATATTATTTCATTTCAGAACTTATTTTTCCTCATAAAACAAAAGATCAGAGAAATGTATTTTATGTAAGACATCATGTCGTTTTGAAGATCTGTGAAAAATGAATAAATATCAAGCAGAAAACTTTGATTTTCTTTTAAACATCACTCAATGTCACTTCTAATAAACTCAATATGAGCTTATGAGCAACTGCATTTAACTATAATGACAAATGTAGACTAACAATTGTGCTGAAAGAAATGTTAGGCCATCTCACTGCCACCATTCTCTCTTCATCCCAGATTTTTCTCCCTCCTTACTCTTTCTTAACTACCACTAGCAAGCAACCACACACCTCTAATTTATTTTAAAATTAAAGTAAAATTCACTGCCTGCATGTTAAGCTATTTGGAAGAATGTAATCAAATCTAATAATGTTATTAATGATAGTTAAGACATCTTGCATGCTTATTATCTGTTTATCACAGTTTTAAGGCCATTAATACTAATTAACTCCTTCAGTAATTTCATGTGGTATGTGTTAATATAATCCCCATTACACCAGCAGTAATGACAAGCCTGTGTTCTCTATTTGTCTTGTCTCCTGCCTGCCCAGGCCAGCAACTGCTAGGCCTGCACCCACACAGTTTCATTCACAGCTTCTGCATCCAGGAGAGTCTCTAGCCTCCAAGTCTCAGGTCCCGCTGGGGCAGTGAAATAAAGGAAAGGTTTTAGGCAGTAAGCACATTAGATAGAAGTACAGTTAAGTTGGAAGGAAGCATAAGATCTGCACTCCAGCTAGGCGGTAGAAATTTGGGAAACTTGGCCAAGCGCAGACTGGATTATAATAATGCCTATCAGAGAAGACATTCTGTAGTATGGATCCAGGAGGTAGGTGATAAGGAGTTGACCCTGAGAACAATTAATAAGAAAATAAAAATGACCAGATGTTTTAACCCATCTAAATTTTTATGAGAATTTTCATGCCTCATTCTTAACTAGCTGATATGGATGAAAAACTAACAACTCTTGGCCAGCCAGCATGGCTTAGTGGTAGAGTGTTGATGTATGAACCAGGAGATCAAGGTTCCATTCTCAGTCAGGGCACATGCCCAGGTTGTGGGCTCTATCCCTAGTAGGGAGCATGTAGAAGGCAGCTGATCAATGATTCTCTCTCATCATTGATGATTCTATTTCTCTCCCTCTCCCTTCCTCTCTAAAACCAATAAAAATATATGTGTAGTTTTTAAACTAGTAACTCTCAAGAAATAAAGAAATAAATATGTCTCAAGAACAACCATAATGGATTTACAGAGTACTCCAAATTAAAAATAAATAAATAAATGACTGAATTTGAAGACGGCAGTGTAGGTAAATGTCTGTACTCATCGTGTCTTACAACCACATCAAAATTATAACTAAAACCCAGGACAACCATCATCCAGAACCACTGGCAAGCTGGCTAAATAGGAGTTCTACAACCAGAGAAGTAAAGAGGAGAGCACACTGAGACTGGTAGAAGGTGTGAGAGGAGAGCACACTGAGACTGGTAGACTGGTGGAGGTGCAGAACAGGCTAGTGTCGCTTTTTTAATTGGGAGGCAGATCATCTCTGCAGAGGCTGCTCTGAGGAACAAGAGGTCCCAGAGCTGGGAAAAGAAGTCCTTAGGGGCAGGAAGAACTACAGGTTGTAAAAAACGAGTGCAGATTGGGGCACAGTGACACAGAGGCTGCTGGAGGTCCAGCTGTTCCTCTTAAAAGACAGGCACCATGAACTGAATTTTTTGACTTTTATATATATATAGAGAGATATGCATTACCTATGGACACAGACAATACCGTGGCGAAGGCCTGGGTTGGGGAGAGAACCTGGTGGAGGGGGGCAATAGGGAGCAAAAAAGAGGAACCTCTGTAATAATCTTAACAATCAAGATTAAAATAAACAAATAAATAATTACCTCTTCATATTCGTATTCATCTTCAGATCCTTCAGTTATGGTGACCTCTGAACATCTTGTCAAGATTTAATCTCAAAATATATGGAATAAAATGATTACATTTAAAACTGATTTGTCCTTGAAGTGGGAGATCTAATTATCTCACCAACTCGGTGAGATAATATATTTCAAAATTTTCATCAATGAAAATTATTTAAATCTCCACCTTTTTCTTATATGTCTTTCTCAATTTTAAAGTTGAATCATCTTCTCAGGAAAGACAGGCTAATTTTCAAGCAAATATAAACTATACAGTAATTATAAATTAAGTAGTTCATAAATTATCAAGAAATAAGCATTAAAATATCAGATTTAAAATTCTAACAACATTGCTGTAAGACTTTAAAAATTATAAGTTAGTCTAATTATAAATGAAAACTACAGTTATTTTGTTTACTTTTCTCTTCAAATGTACAGAGGTAGTCATGCCAAGTTTAAAAGGTATTAAACACTTTAATGCACAGTAATGGTTATGAAAATCAAAGATGAGATTAGCCTAGTTTTCATTTTGCTGCTGGTTATAAAAAATTGTCTCTGCTACTCTGTCTTCCAAGAGTTAGCGGAAGGTGCATATAACAACGTATGTTGTTTGTAATAAGAACTGACAACATAGTATTTAATAGAGGCTAGATGCTGTCCTAAGGGTTTCACGAGTACATATATTAACTCATTTCATCCTCATCCGATGTATGAACCTGGAACCAGCAGTATCTCTATCTTACAGATCAGCTCCAAGGCACACACTGCACAACAAGAACCTAACAAACCTGGAATAAGCCCCAGAAGCTCCGGTTTCACTAGCCAGTGGTCAGCAAACTACGGATTTGTTGACTAATGAGTTTGCCGACCACTGCACTAGGCAACACTACCTCTCCTGTTGTTCTGTATGGGTTTTCTGTGTATGGAAACACTTGAGGCTTTTGCCAATTATTTTCCACATACTTCTAAACCTCGAAAGATAGGAAATACAGGTTTTTTTGTAATACATTCTTTTTAAAATATATTTTATTGATTTTTTACAGAAAGCAAGGGAGAGAGATAGAGAGTTAGAAACATCAATGAGAGATCATCCATCAGCTGCCTCTTGCACACCCCCTACTGGGGATGTGCCCGCAACCAAGGTGCATGCCCTTGACCAGAATCGAACCTGGGTCCTTTAAGTCAGCAGGTTGATGCTCTATCCACTGAGCCAAACCGGCTGGTAATACATTCTTGCTACTCAGCCTCATCATAAGCAATAACTCTTTAGTATTTGCCTTATTATTTGAAGAGACACATAAACCAATTTCAGTTATAATCAACCCTCAGGACCCAGTTACCTATCAAAGGGCTGTATTTTATGGTCAAACATGAGTCTCTCCAAAAATATGGTGAAAAGTAATTTAGGATAAAAAATAAGTAATTCACAGTAGACTAAGCAAACAGACACACACAAAAAAAGTTGTATGTCTGCAGTCCATCTCCTAACCTGAAATCCACCCTTACTGAGTACCAAGAGTGAAGTACATGCCTTTTACTAACATCCTACTTAAAGTACTTCCAAATGTGTCCAGTGCTGTTTTGCAAAGCCACTCTGATACTCTCAGGTCTTTCTTAGGTTAGAATCTCATTTCTAGGTACCAAAATCAATATTTTTTTAATGTATTGCAGTATAACAAACTCCCAAAAACTTTGTACAACAACAACACAGTAAGCATCCATTATCTCATCTTTTCTGTGATCAAGAATTCAATAGTGGCTCAGCTGAAAAAAAAATTTTTGGGGGGGGGAGTCACCCATGAAGTCTCAGTTGAGGTGGCAACCAGGGTGGTAGTCACATGAAGGCTAAACTGAGGGAACAGGATCTATTTGCTGAAGGGTCACTGATATTGTTGTGTGGAGGACTCAGATCCTCCCCATGAGGGTCTCTCCATGGGCTTCTTAAGTCTCCTTAAGAGGTGGTGGCTAGCTACCTCCAGAATAAGCAATTCAGGAAAACAAAGTAGATGCCACAGTTTCTTTAATGAACAGCCACAAAAGCATATATTCAATGTACAATTGGTTACCCAGGTCAACCCTATTCAGTATGGGGACACGATACAAAGCATTTACACCAGCAGGTGGGAATCACCGGGCATCATTTTGCAGGCTGGCTACTACATTACCTTTTAGGGTTTCAAGGGTAGTAAAGGAATTAACATATGTAAATCTTTTAGAACAGTGCATGGCTTACAGTAAAGACAATATACAGTGTTTGTTACTACTGTCCACTTTCTGGAAAGAGGTGAGTAGCGGTGGGAGAATTCTCGTAAGTCTCCCATGGCCCCATTCCCCCCTATGTTAAGAGAAATGGGTGAAAGCATTCTAAATCTTCCTCCATCTAAATTTATATTTATCTGACACGCTTTCACTTAATGAGATAAAATTTCCCGAACATCAGATACAGGAAATCAGCCTTTTTTAAATATCTTTATTTTTATTGTTGACATTACTTCCCCACCTTTACCCCCGCCACCTAATTCTCTCCCCACCCCCTTCCCTTGGGCCATCACTACACTGTGTCTGTGTCTATAGGTTATGCATATATGTTCTTTGGCTAATCCCTTCATCTTTTGTCCAGTCCCCATGCACTCTCCTTCCCTCTGACAGCTATCAGAATGTTCAGTGTATCCATGCCTCTGTTTTACCTTGTTCATCCTTTTATTTTGTTCATTAGGTTTCACATATAAGTCAGATTATATGGTTTTTGTCTGTCTAGGACTGGTTTATTTCACTTAGCATAAAAATCTCTAGGTCTATCTATGCTGTTGCAAAAAAAATAAGAGTCAGCCTCTCTTTTATGGAAAACTATGCTCTCTTCTGAGACAACTACTAGAAATTGATTTTGTAAGCAATCACCTGTAACTGTCTCCAAAAAGCAATGCTGCCTTCATCACCGTTCATACCATAAAAAATTCCATAAAAAAGTAAATGTTCTATAATTATCTGGATAGATTTGATATTTGCAAATAAAACAACTGCTGACAAATTATTGTGAGGAATGTGAGGAATAAAGGTAAAAGCAAAGGTTGCAAAACATAGCAATATATAGAGGAAAAATATGATTTGTTCTAAAAGCTTTGGAAATATCTATCAACACCTGTTTACTGTATACCCTATCCTGAAATTAATCTAACCAATGGATTTTAATCACTAGTAAAATATTCTGTTTCCACACAAAGGAGACTAAGAAAAAATAGCTATCATTTTGTAAAACTTAAAAAGTACTATCACATGGAACATAATCATATTTATTCTCATAACAACTTTGTGAGATTGAATGGCACAGATATACCCACCTTCAAAAAAAGAAAAAGAGAAGAAACTGATTCAAACATATTAATAGATTTGCCCTAAATCACATAGTTTTGAGTGACAAAGACACATTTCTTGAATATAAATGTCAAGAATTTTCAACTAAGCCATACTATTTCTATAGTGACCCAATAAGAATGTGCAATTGTTGCCAATATTCTAGGTAATAAACTCAAACCTAGTTGTTTTCCAAACTCTTAAGAAATTGTATGGACTGCTAACCCAAATTGTTTAAATAGCTCAATGTGAACTTCTTAAAGAGGGAGAAGTACAAAAGGTCTAGAACCCAAAAAGTAAATTAACCAAGGCCAAGAGATTAATGAAACAAAAGATGGGAAAAGGACAAAAACCCAGAATAGAAACTGGTATCTTCCTTGACTGATATTTTTAGTATCCACAATGTGGCTTGAACAGAAAATCTTCCCAGAAGCAACTCAGTTGAAATGTGATGTTGCAGTGTTGCTGAGAAATAAATGTGTGTTGGCATGTATGTTGGCATGCATCTGTTATCTGGCTAGTAACACATGGACAATGCATGAACAAATCCCAAAATGATACTGTGACAGCTTACAAATGTGCACACATTACAAAATGTAAAAATTAATGCATATGAAAATTTGAGGGGAAAAAAAGGAAATAAGTAGAAATCAAAGTAAAGATGCAGTACATGTCATAGGCCTCATAATTTTGTGAAACTTAGGCCACAGGTTTGACTCTAAGCTTCCCAGCAGTCAGGGTGAAAGGGGGAATATAATCAGATACCAATCCGGTATCCATCCAATGAAAACAGGTGAACTTCTCAGGAGATGCACAGCAATTTCTGGTTTCCAAGCAAGAATGAGTTACGCGCCCGGATTCTCATGGAGAGGACACTGTAGGCTGTACAGATACAGATCCCCTTTGCCCTTGGGATGCCAGGAAGGCAGCGGAAAGCAGAATCAGACAGAACACCACGTGCGGAAAGCACTGCTTTAGTGCAGAACTGCCAGAGTGGAAACAGACAGTTTACCAGAATTGTCTGAAAGACAAACCCTCACAGATGAGAAGTTTCCCAGTAAAAGTAGGACCACGGTAACCGAATCTCCTGGGTGAGCCTCTTCTCCAGGAAATGTCTCTACAATTAAGCTAGTCATAATCCCCACGATGAAATTATTTTTTCACTGTAGAACAATAAGCTGGCATCTGGCTTAAAGTCAGTTTATTAATGCCAAGCTGACACTGGGCCCTTACAAAGCTCCCTTCTTTTGGTCCACCTAATATTCCTTCAAAGAACATCTCTGAACTCCAGTTCCGAAATTCTCTTTTTCCCCAGCCTGTTCCCCTCAGCTCTGCTCTTTGCCTCTGGGCCTGTTTGAGCTTGATCTGACACTTATCCTGAGCCTGGTTTCCTGTCTGCTCTTGCCGAGGCTACCGGCTGTGGCTCCCCTTTCCTGCCCGGTCTGCAGCCACCGTCTACCACACCGCCTACTTCCAAACCAGGTGCTGTGTCCTAAGAGTCACAGCCCGGACTCAGACCAGGGTCCCACTTCTCCACATGTCCCCTTGCCCTGGAAGGAATACAATGGTATCTGTGAGTCTGCACAGCCATGACTCAGCTCCCTGGTACTTAGTCAACATCAGGTGGGCCGATGGGCACTTCATGCAGTAGCAGAATCTTTACTAGATCCTGGCCATC